ATCTGCTACTCCCTAAAGAGAAATACAGCCTTCTTGGTTATCTTCTGGGTCTGTAAGTCTTAAGTTTCTCTCATGTAACCACAAGACTTTGTTTCAACCAAAACTTTGTGAAGCGTTTAAGCTTTTAATGGAAAATATGTGTAATTTTGAAAAGTACCTCTCTTAATATTTATTTTAAATGAGACTCAGAAACTTCAAATAAAGACATGGTGAACTTATCAGTGTATATTCACAAAGAGCTTTTGTCATGAGCTATGGTATACTGTACAGAAGTTCAAATCAGTGGGACATAACTGAGTAAAACCTGGAGTCATCTCGGGTAATTATGACATTTTCTCTGCCACTCCTCAAGAGGCATTTCTCTCTCTTTTTATATCCATCTACATTTTTCTCATTTTGCAAAGAACGAAGACTGCACCTTCAGAGGAAACCCACACCTTCCCTTGGTCATCTACCTCAACTTTCATAATTAACAAAGAGATCTGTAACAGCCAAAAAAAATTCATTGATATTTCTCCTTCCTCATTTCTTTTTTTTTTTCCCCCCTCTACTTTTTCCTCTTTTCTTGCGATCAGTGCTCTGCTTATTAATTTTTTGGTACTTGTTTCACAAGTCATGTGTGTTCTCATATTCTAGATTTCACTCTTCATAGAAATAATGAGATGATGAGTAATAAACCACAACTTTGTTTCAGCTAAAACTTTGTGAAGCATTTAAATTTTTAATACAAAACATGTGTAATTTTGAAAAGCACAACCTAATTTTGTCTAAACAGCAAATTTAGTTTTACAAGTTTATTGTGCATTCTCTGCACTAGGGGTCCAGACTTTAGACTTAGTAAGTAGTAATTATATCCAAGAGCTTAGTAAATCTGGGGTTAGAAACCAATCACAGGAATGAGCTTCTGTTTGTTGTCGTTGTTTTGAGAGAGAATCTCACTCAGTCACCCTGGGGTTGAGTACCCTGGTGTCATAGCTCACAGCAACCTCAAACTCTTGGGGCACAGTGATCTTTTGTTTTATCCTTCTGAGTAATTGGAACTGCAGATGCCTGCCACAATACCTGGCTACTTTTCTATTTTTAGTAGAGACTGGGTCTCCTTCTTGCTCAGCTGGTCTCTACCTCCTAAGCTCAGGTAATCCACCCAGGTGAGCCTCCGAGAGTGCTAGGATTACAGCGTGAGCCACTGCACCCAGCCTGGGAATGAGCTTCTTAAAGGCAAGGATTAGCCCCTTTTTCATCTGTATGTCAAGAGTGCCTGGAACCCAGCAGATGAGAGTGGATTGCGAAAAATGAGTGTTTCAAAAAGGGCATTTATAGCTGCTTTATAAAAAAAATAGTACATCTTAGCTGTACTGTAGTACAGTAGCTGCCTGTAGTCCCAACTACTCGGGAGGCTGAAGCAAGAGAATTACTTAAGCCCAAGAGCTGTGAGCTGTGATGCTGCAGCACTCTACCGAGGGCAACAAAGTGAGACTCTGTCTCCATAAAAATTAAAATAAAATAAAAAATAGTGCATCTTCATTTTGAACAGTAAAGACCCTTTCCATTTCTATAGTACTGACGCACGTACTTGCACTCTGTGTGACTTGACATGGGCCCCACATGTATCAGAAGCTGGCGCATAGCCAGAGGCCTACAAGAACCAGGTTGTCCTTGGTCTGTGGTCAATAAAGAATCAGTAGCTATGACCCAGATCACACTTAGACATGGAAAGGAATCAGGATGGGAAATGTGTATCTGAAGAAGGAAGTGGAACTTTGGGTGGTACCTGTGGCTCAAGGAATAGGGTGCTGGCCCCATATACTGGGGGTGGCAGGTTCTAGCCCAGCCCTGGCCAAAACTGCAAAAAAAAAAAAAAAGTGGAACTTCAAAAGACTTCTGAACTTCACATTTACCAGGGAAATTATATTTTTGTTACTATTTTATTCTATGGGAACTTGTATTCGGTGTCCGAGTACCTATTGATCTCGAAAATCCTTCTTGATTTTGAATACAGATGGAAAATTTGATGTGTGTTAATTGCTTCTTCCATGGTCTTCTACCCAGCTTTGTATTTAAAGATTAATTAGTATACAAGGAATTAGCTAGATTGTTACTTAAAGACCTAGTTCTATCTTATAGAAGAGCAACCCTTCAGCAGCATTATAGTTATAGAAATAGAGGCTTTTCTCTTGAAGACTTTCTAAAATGCATTTGGGTTTTGTTCCATAAAATTCTGTGATTCAGTATCTAAAAGATGAGATTTAGCTGTAGCTTTACACGTATAACTAAAGCTAAATTGTTAATTATCAGTAAACACAAGGAGCATTTTAAAAATTAATCTCTAATTAAAATTTAAAGGTATCAAACAAATATAATAGACTTAGAATGGAAGAAAGTCCCATAGACTTAAAATGGAAGAAAGCAAAGAACAAATACCTACTGGGAAGGAATGCGAAGTTCTTTTTGGGGTCCTACTGATTCTTAAAATTTGAAACATCTAACTGATCACTGCCATTAAGGCAAGATTAATACAGACATCCAGCCAAAGTGGTTTATGCTGCTTGGGTAGTAGTCCTTTGGATATTTCGAAAGTAATACTTTTATATTTTTCTCAAAAGATTTTTAGGTTAAAGTGCCTCCATAAAACTAATGCATTGTAAGATGATTTTGTCTTGAAAAAGTATAGTTAATTTTTAAATCATGACTCTCTAAAAAGTGAGTTTGATATTTAAAGGACAAAAATCTGCAAATGATATTGTCCAGAATAATTTTTCCCCTTCTAAAAGTGGACTTGGAATTCAATAGGAAAAAAGAATGAGGCCTGGTCGCGATTTGATGGTCTTCTGCCATCTGGTGGACATTAATAGAAGTGTCAGTACATAGAGTAACAGATGATGCACTGTGGACCTAAGAGAGGGGAGGCTGCGTGGAAGGGAGGGTCATCAGTGTGACCTCACCTATGGTGCATATTGCAAGGGTACATGTCAAATCCATTAAGAGTAGAGTATATATGTCTTAACACAACAATTAAGTAAATGAAGCGAAGGCTATGTTAACCAGTTTGATGTAAGCATTCCAAATTGTATACAAAATCAGCACATTATGCCCTATAAGTGCATTAATGTACACAGTTATGATTTAATAAAAAACACGGTTTTTAAAAAAAATTATGACATTTTATATTCTACATGCTACTCATTTGACAGGTTTTTATATACGTGTTTAAAAGTCAAAGCTAGAATGTTTCCTGTTTCTACATTTTCATATTCTGAATTCATAAATTTTGATAATGAAAGAATTGTCCTCTTAGTAAGAATTGTCCTTTAGTAAGCTCCTAAAGGAATATTCCAGTCTAAACCCTTTCTAAGCAAAAAAATGATATCATGGGTCTACAGTGAAAAATTCTCTAACTCATATAAAGTTATACATGTATTTATATGAAGAATGCATGTTAATTCTTTTCTGAATCATTTCTATGCCATTGCTAACATATATATATATGCTAAAATTGCTAATACTAAGTCCTGTATGTAAAATTTTTTTCAATTTGCCAGACGAATTATTAGTTGTGAGTGCCCTCCTGTGTTCATGAGATGAATTACAGACTAGTAGAGACAAAAAGGTCACATTCTGATGCAGTTGCTGATCTATTGCCTCTGAGTCCTTGTGATTTTTCCATCAGTAATGATTGGTTGACCTAGGTAGACTGCAGGCTCCCATCTGGTGGCTTTGTAACTACAAGTACCATCGGAAAACAAAGCCTAGCTTCCGTGAGCAGATTTATTAATCTTTTTCTGAGAGTGTTATCTCTCCCATTGCTGTGCAAATCTGTCTGTCCAGTGAAGACTATATCTTATTTCAGTAACACAAGATCATAAAATTTTATAATTTTTCTCCTCCCAATTAGTCCAAACTATCACATGGTGAGTGTGTTTTAGAAAGAATAAGGCAATATTTTAGGTGGGACTAAATTTTTGGCATGATTCCCAGGATGGACTTGAATTCATTTTAAGAAGTCTCTTAGTGATTTTTCACAATATTATCTTTTTCAAATAAGACAAACAAATCTTCTCACGTCCTAAAATTATTTGTTTAGTTTTTTTATCATTGCAAGGTGGTATTTTTGCCAGCATGTCTGAAAAAAATACTGAAATGATCATTTTAGTTCTATGGTTTTCACTAGTTGGGAATTGTAAATTATTTTAAGGACTGTCTAATAACAAAAATGTCCAACAACAGACTATTGTAATTGGATTTTCTTTATCCTGAGCTAAATATATTTTTCAGGTACAAAACAAGAGAAATAAAGGCATCATGAATTATAGATATTCTTTGTTCATTTATTTCTAAACATGAAAATTTAAGCCAAATATATCCAAGACCATATCAGTATAGAAATAGAGAGCTATGGTTCCTATATTTATAATCTTCTAGAAGAGTTAAGACTCGCCCAGAATGAAATCATATAAGACAGTGTGCAAATAGTGCAATAATGTCAAACAAAATAGGCGATCAAAAATGACTCAGATCATGTTGCAGAGATCAGAGTGTACATAACGGTGGTGGTAGCATTTCCCCCGAGACCATTCCTGAGAAAACGGCACAGTAGGAAAGTAGAACTTTTTAAACTTCCATTGAAATAAAAGAAAATACAA